GTGCAATATAAACTCCTAGTGTGTATGCATTTGTGTGTCAGATGTTTTGCTTTTTCTTCTGCTAGTTGTGATTCTGCCAGCCAGAATCTGCTGATATAAGAGCTCAGTCATTTGGCTGAATCTGTGTTTTTGTGCAAATGTGATTGACTTGTCTCATTTTATATTTCACTAGACTGTAGCACAGATTTCTCCCTTCTGTTACACATACACTGCCCAGCTCTGGTGCTCCCCAGCCCATCATATGGTGTAGGCTGAGACCTTCTCACACACTTTTGCTGTAGCCCAGGGTGGTAGGGTCAACATGAACTTTTGTCTGCTCCTTTCAGTGTAGGTGTTACAGCAGCTGAGGTCATGGATGGTGGGAGCTGTGTCTGGAATTGGACAGAGGCATTTGCTTGTTTTCAGACCATCATTCTTGTTACACCTCTACATGTGTTTGCTGAGTTCCTTATACAGTGAGCTCCTCATCTTTGCCTTGAGATCCTAGGTAGTACAAAGGGTGCAAAGTAATTTCAGATTTACTCCTTGTTGTTTGCTGCTGAACTAAATTTAGCTGTACTTCCCATCTTGCCCAAAATATATATAATATATAAGCTCCATCTCACCCAAAATAGCTTCATTAAAGGAAGAACTCTCTTCCCCCAGCCTAAAATGTTTGACTTCAAAGATCAGTTATGTTCTGGGGAGATTTACCCGTAGGAAAAACAGCTTTCCATATAATAGGAGAAATGTGGGTTTGATAAAGAAAACAAGTAAGCAAACAAACATCCCTATGAGATACAGTTTGCTAAGAGAAATATCCCCTTGCCAGAGTCAAGCCCACTTTACTAACTTGGCAGAAAATACTGAAAACAAAATTGTGGATTCTTTGTTATCTGCGAAGTCCATCTGTTGTGTGCTGGCCCATTTAACCTCCTAGGGTTGCATTCCCAAGTTAATATGAAACAATTACATTCAGATTAAAGCAGAATCCCAGAGGAAAACATAACCTGAGATAGATGTGGGAAAGCACAACAGTGAACAGAAAAGCTTCACTGCAAGGCAAGAGAAAATTGGGAAAAATTTCCTTGTGGTTGACAAAACCTCTGGGTGACCCCGCAAGGTCACAGAATCCATGTTGTGACCTTCCATGCCTTGCTGGCAATTGTCCATGAGGTCTCGTCAGTTTGTTACAGGCAGGTGCCTTTATCCAAGGTAAAGCCTAACACCTTGAATTTCTCACTGAGTTTTGACAGACAGCAGAAACTCACCTTAGTTTCAGCTCACCTTCCCTGTGAGCAGCTTGAAATAAATGCCTTTCCTCTGTTTTAGTGACTGGTGTGCTGCTCAGCTGCTGCCTGCCAGGGAAGGTTCACTGCTACCTGGAGACCAGCGCACCTCAGTGCATTTCCTGACACAAGATGTGTAACCAGGTGCCTCTCTTTGCTCACCCTTTCAAAGGTACCTGTTTAATTTCCGAGGAGTGGCGGCCAGTTTCCGCTTGAAGCACCTTTTCCTGTGCGGCTCGCTCGTCTTTCACGTCGGAGAGGAGTGGCTGGAGTTCTTCTACCCCCAGCTGAAGCCTTGGGTCCACTACATCCCGGTGCGGTCAGACCTCTCTGATGTCAGGTGTGGGGGCTGAGCTGCTCCGTGCAGCATTCCATACCATGGGGAAGCCTTTGGGAAGGGGGGATGGTTTGTGTTAGGCCATGAAGTACCTCCACTCCAAGGCATCAGGCAAAGACACTTGGAGCTCGTGGTCTTTTCTCTTCATCACTGCCCCCAAAGAATCCTTTGCAGATATTACCTGGGAAGTACAGTTTCACTGGAGTCTTTCACTCTCACTGAAATCAGCAGGCACTAGACTGTTAAATTTGCAAGTGGGCAGCAGAGATAAGGGGGAAGAAGAACTTATCAGTGGGCCAAAAATGTGTTAGCTCCCAGATTTTAGGATGTTGTCCAGAACTGATGTGAAACAATCAAGAAGAGAAGTTTCTTCTGTGCTCTGAGCTGAGCAGCACCTTCACTCACTTGTAGACTTTTAACCTCACCCTCCCCAACAGTTCAGCCAAGGGGTGATGTTCTCCACTGAGCCAGTTGTTTCATACCTTTTTTTTGTGTATGTCTTCATTTTAGGGAGCTCTTGCAGTTTGTAAAGGAAAATGATGCCATAGCACAAGAAATTTCAGAGAGGTAAGCAGTATGTCCTTCCTGGCTATTAGGCAGTCTTCTTCCAAAACATTTTCTTACTCTGCTGTTGAAGGGGTTGCCCATCAAAGACAACCCACTATTAGTAGGGTGCAGTATCTTTTGCAGTAACAGCAGGAGGACTGGTGCTTTCCTCTCGGTATGAGAAAAGCTGGCTCCTGGGAGCTGTGTCTGCACTGTAAACATTATCTATTCAGGCTGGTGTGAAGCAGCGTGCATCAGTGCTGCTCTAGCTGCATGTGATAAGTGAAATCTGATATTTATTATCCCAGATAGCAAATACTGTCCTGAGGATAGCAAAAGCACTGCAACATCAGAGCTGTGAGCATGAATGAAAATTGTAAAATTAAAACAGACGGTACAGAGCAGTGCATGTTTCTCATTTGAAACAAGGAAGTGTGAAAGTTGATATACATCCAAACCAAAACTAATGACTCTTGTAGAAAACAGGCCTGACTGTGCCTTGTGTTCTCCAGGGGACGTCAGTTCATCACTGAGCACTTGGAGATGGAGGACATCTCTTGCTACTGGGAGCATCTGCTGTCTGAATATTCCCAAATCTTGACTTACAAAGTGAAAAGGAAGAAGAGCTACAGTGAGATCACTTCTGGACAGCTGAAAACAGAATTGTAGAGACTTCTCTGTTTTTCTGTTTGGCTCAAACTGATCACTGTGGAAATCTGAAGATCAGTATTAACTTATTTCTTGCTCTGTCAGACTTACCTTTCACAGTAGAACTACAGAGAAGTCAGCAGTAGGCTGACTTGGACTTTGCTTCCAGGCACTGGGACCTGGTTATATTGTCACCACAAGAATGTTAAGCAGCATATTGGATTAAGGCTATTCAATGGGGTGGTCAGTCATGCCTAGAGGAAGGGTGTTAGCATTTAGGACTTAGTTGCTACCTGTCTCAAAATGATCCTAAATCCCATTCAGTCAATGAGGAGCCTTACTGGACTTTTTACCAGAGGTCATGGCAAAGGACACGGACTGTGAGCTGCACTCAGCTAGTAAATACCTGCCCCATTGTTTGGTAAATGTTTTCTCAGCTGGGTGATAGCACTTGGGGTATTAGGAGTTCTCTGACAGAAGCAGGTACTGGGATTTGGGGGTATATACATTTCTGGATAGCTTAGAATTTATGTTGGATTTTAGAGGTTGATGGTAAGGTTTTGACATGCCCTTGAAAGGATGACTGATCCTTGCAGAGTTACCCTACCTACCTCACAGGGGATCAGCATGGGGCCAACATCAGTGATGTGCTTGGCAACTGAGGCAGAGATGGTTCATCCTCCAGCAGACGAGCTGGGTGCCCGCACAGCCCTGCACAACTGAGCCCCTGTTAATGATCTCTCACCAGCTGCCTGGCCAGACATCCTGGGATGGCATCCTTAGGAACCCAGAGAAAGTATTCACAGAGGTAGATTCAGCACTTCCTTTTACCAAAAGTGCAGTCTGCTCTGATCCTCTTCTGTAATCTTTCTAGGATTATTTTGGGGTTTTTTGGTTTGGGGTTTTTTTAAGGGTTTTTTTTTGTTTGGGTTTTTTTTTTTTTTTTGAGACTGATAATACATCTGCTCACTTCAGTAGTTGCTTTTCTTCCCCACAGCTGTGCCACTTCTTTTTTCATCTCCTTCAGCGTGGTTGAGGGAATGTCTTCAGTCACACAGTAGCAGCTACTGCTCACATTACCCATTTTGAGGTGGTCACAGGCTGCTTGTGCTCGCTGTGTTTGTGCCCACCACAGCCTCTCAGCTAGGAAGGACTGCAATTCCTGAAATGCTCTGTGCCCCCTCAGGTGAGAGGCTGGGAGGCAGCAGCATCTTCTCTGGCACCCAGACAGGAAGAGCATGGGGTGGCAGGAGGGACACAGGAGCCTCCCAGGGGAGCACCCCTGTTTGTAAAGCAGCCTCAAGGCTGAGAGAGCAGCACATTATAATGGAAGAGGATGACAGCAACAGCTCCCAGGCCCTTCTGCAGTCAGTGTGGATCAGGGAAGAAGGAAATTGCTTGGAACAATAATGTTTAAGTGTATGTGTGTCCTCACAGTGGTCTTGCAGCCCTGGTACAGGGACACAGCAGCTGATCAAGTGCTGGTTGCTGGGGCAGTGTGTTGGTTTTGGGACCAATGCTGGGGTTATCCCGTCCAGCAAAGGAAACAGAATAAGGCATTAAAAGAACCCAGTTTCCCAGGAAAACTGTGCCAGAGTGGAAAGGGTTTTCTGGTTTCCTATTTTTAGCCAACGGAGAAACTGAACAGCTCTGTATGATCTTTTAAAACTATTTGTAATGAAGTGCTTTTTGGAATAAAACAAACAAAAATGAAGTTTTTCTGGATGCATGTTGCTTCATCAGAAGAGTAATAAGAGGTCTGCAGAGCCCCAGCTTTTCCACCCGTAGATCTTGCGATGAGACCGGATTGTAGCAGCTTAGGTGTCCCTTGGCCAAAGTGATGGTTCTGCAGGAGTGGGGGAAGAATCCCGGGAATTCACTCCCAGGGGTTAAAATATGCACAGGCTTGGTGGCAAGGCCCAGGCAGCTCCCCTGGTGGGGGGCTTTCACTGCTTTGGTGAAAGGAGGAATTCACAACGGAGAGAGTTCAGTTGTTTCAGGGAAGGCATGAGCCCCATGAGAGGCTCCATCTGCCGTGCAGCATTGCCTCTTACCGGCCTCAGAGCCGGGGATGCAAACTGGGCATCACGGCCCCCAAAACTCAGCTCCTCTCTGGCGCGGGGAACAAACGGGCAAATACCTGGAGTCATTAATCAGTAATTAATGCGGTGCCGAGCGGTCGGAGCCGCCCCGCTCCGTGCCGTGCCCCGCCGGGCCGCGGGGGGCGCTGTGGCGCGGAGCCGGTGCCGCTGCGGGCCCGGCTATGGCGGAGCTCCGCGGCGCTCCGGCGGGCTTCGGCCGCCCCGCGCCGCTGCCGCAGACGGGCTGGGAGCGGCTCAGCGAGCTCTGGCGGCTCGAGTGAGCGCCGGGACGGGGTGGGACGGGCCGGGCTCGGCTGGGCGGTGGCGGTGCCGCCGTGCCGACCCCGCGCCCACGGCTGCCCTTGCCTTGCAGCGAGCGGCAGCAGTTCCCGGAGGAGACGATGAACATCGCCAAGTCGGCGTTCACGGCGGGCGTGGTGGGCTGGCTCTACGGGGGGCTGCCCGCCTTCGTCAGCGCCCGCAAGGCCTTCGTCGAGAGCAGCCACGGCGAGATGTTCCAGAACCGCGCCGATGCCTTGGTACGGGCCCGGGGGAGGCTCGGCCTCGGGAGGGCGCCGGGCCCGGAGGCTGCCCTTGGAGGCGCCGTGAGGGGTGACAGCGGGCCCCGTGTGTGTGGGACGTGTGTGTGTGCCCGGCTCTGGGACGGAAAGTTTGCTGGGAGTGTGGGAGTGAGTGCAGGTCGGCTGCGAAGGGAATTAGCGGGTCCCGTCGCGCAAACTGCTTCAAACAAGCGTCCTGCGTTACACGGAAGGCTGGCAGCGAAGTGTGCCGTTCTGATGAATGTGTCTCGAAAAGGCTGCCTGCTTCTAAGTTTTAGCGTGCTGACGGGAGACTTCATAGTGTGAAACTGGGATTGTACTCCTGTCTTATTAATGTGAGTCGTTTTTAGACCATTTAAAATTCTTTTAGAACAACGGCACAACAAAGAGTATCTGTGACATTTTATAGATGTATTCGAACGTCTGGGTATTTGTTATTCAATTAAAGTGTTGGTTACCTGGGTTATGAGGAAGAAAAACCCTTTAAAATCTGCCTGATGTAAATTTTGTATCACTTACAATTAGATTTGGCCTCTGATGTGGTGACCTGCAAATTACCACTGCCTGGTGACTGGTATATCTGAATCCAGGCTGAGCACCTACACCACAAGCACTGGAAGAGAAAATTCATTTACTTTCATGGTATTAATGGCAACATTTTTAATTTTTGTGAAGCTTCAGGTTACCACTTATTTAAAAAAAAAAACTCTTCAGACTTTTAAGTGCCAGTGTTAAACAGCAGAGCTTGATGATATCTTAACATAATTAGATTTGGCCTCTGATGTGGTGACCTGCAAATTACCACTGCCTGGTGACTGTGGTATATCTGAATCCAGGCTGAGCACCTACACCACAAGCACTGGAAGAGAAAATTCATTTACTTTCATGGTATTAACGGCAACATTTTTAATTTTTGTGAAGCTTCAGTTTACCACTTATTTAAAAAAAAAAAAACTCTTCAAACTTTTAAGTGCCAGTGTTAAACAGCAGAACTTGATGATATCTTAACAGTTAATGTAGCTGGTCATTATTTACTTCCTATTACTTATTGATGGTTATTATTTATTAATACCTATGAACTCATAATAATGAAGTAGTTTCTGGCTTTCCTCCCTTCTCCTCTGGTGCTGTCCTGACTCTGTCCCCTCAGCAATCCGCACACCGCGCTGGTCTCCGGAGTTTCATCCGCTACGGCTGGCGCTGGAGCTGGAGGGTGGCGGCTTTCGCCACGATATTCAAGTGAGTGTTCCCTGATGGCAGGGGAGCAGAGCTGCCCCGTGCTGCTGCTTGTCCTTGCCAGCAGTGCCCACAGCTCTGGGGACTGGTTGAGGCTCCTGCTGTTGCCTTAACCTGAGTCTGGTTGATCGGGCAGGAGCATGAAGAGGGTTTGACCTGTTAGAATTGCCCCAGAATTCTCTTTCTCTAATGGATCAACACAAACCCTAAAAAGCCCTGTTTGTACATCAATACTGTTCTTTCTTGACAGCTGTTTTCTGTTTTTCCTTAATCTCTTTCTGTGCTTTTTGTCTGAGGGAGTGTTAAAGTGTGTTGGCAGTTTCTGGAAGTGCTTTCTAACCCACACTGATTTTTGTCCTTTCTGCTATGTCTCATTACTCCTAGTTTGTATATGCTGGTGGTACTCACAATTGTCACTGCTCCTGCTTTGTGTACACTGGTGTTACTCACAATTCTTTGTTCTTGTCCTCAGACACTTGCAGGGGATTGTCTGGTTCTGGAGCAGTTGCTGAATATCAGACCTGTCACTTCTGTGTGCCTGTTCAGGCCTTCAGATTTTTCCCACACACACAAAACCAATGCAGGGAGTGTTCTGCTGCTCTGATTTTCTTCCTTGGGTGCTTCAGTGCATTTCTGACAATAGAGCATCAAACTAAGCATGGTCTTCTGAGCGAAGCCCTTTTAAATTAGAAATGTCTCCTTCCCTGTTGTTCAAACTAGTAAATTTATAAATTTAAACCTTCATTGACTTTCTCTGCAGGTATGTTCTGTTTAAGGTCTCCTTCTGCTTTTAAGATCCCACAGTATTGACTGGCATTACTTTGTATTTCTGTCTCCCTAACATTTTTGTTCCTTTCTGAATTTCTTCCTCACTGTCTCTTGGTTTCTGTGGCTCCTTTTAGTTTAGTCTCTGTTTCTAAGCTTAGTTAGTGGGCTGTTTGCTTTCTCTCCTGGAGCTTTTGATTTCTCTGGGTTTTCTGGAATTCTTTGGGTTTGACATGTAACCTCGTCATCTTCCACCAGGTGTCTCCCCTGCAGTCAGATCAGCCCCTTTTTCACCAGCCCTTTGGAAAAGGTTCTGAACGAACCTGTTTGCTGCTCAGCATTGTTTCTGTAAAGCCCAAGTTGAAAATTCCATCCTGCAGTTGTGAAAACTTTAGGTTTCACAGTTAAAACCCAAATTGTTTGGGTTTATCTGTGTTGGGAAGGAGAGGAGGATTGCTGCTGAACTGAGAACAGTATTTTGGGGCTTAGCTGATGTTTAGGAGGAGTTGGTTTGCCTACCCCAGAGGGAAATCTGCTGCCACAAGAGTAGGTGACCCTGCTGATGTCACGAGTGTGACTGAGGCTGTTTGCAAGGCAGGATCCTACTGACACAGGGATCAGCTTCTGCGGTAAATGTCCTCCATCAGGACTGGCTGACTGACAGGACCTTTTCATTGCTCACATTCTTTTCTCCTTGACTATATTACCTGTTCCTGGGCACTAGAACAGGTAGTTCAGAGAAGCTGTGGATGCCCCATCCCTGGAGGTTTTCAAGGCCAGGCTGAATGGAGCTCTGAGCAACCTGGTCCCGTGGAAGGTGCCCCTGCCCGCAGTGAGGGCTTGCAACTGGATGGCTTTTAGCATCACTTCCAACCTAAACCATTCTGGTCCTATCATTCTATATGATAGCAAAGAAAAATCTTTGATTTAAAAAAAAAGTAAGAGTATCTCAGATCCAGCTCAGGAACTCTGATATTCCCTGGCCTGTGTCTGTGCAGCTGCCCGCAGTAAAGTCACAGAAGTCATGGGTGGCACGGTCTAAACAGATGGGCAACCAGGCAGGTAGAGGCAACCTGAGGGCAGGCTTAATGAAATCCAGCTTTATTTCATGCTGTGTTTTGCTGCCTCTCCTTTTCCATGTGCAGCTGCTGACCTCTGTGCCTTGCCTTTGCAGCGCAGTGAGCACGGGCCTGTCTGTGTACCGCGACAAAACCTCCATCAGTAACTTTGCTGCAGCAGGAGGTAAGAGTGCTGTAACCCTGTGTGCTTCTGTTTGTTAGCAAGGGTGGTAGCAGAAAAGCATAAGCAAGTATCCACATCCCTTGGGATTGAGCAGCTTCTGTGCTATTGGGTTTTGCTTCTTGTTCCACTGACTTTGCTCTGTTGTTTGCCTGCTGCGTGCCTTTATTTCTAACAGAGATACTGATGCACTGCTGAAACCATTGGGGATTTTTGTGGTTATCAGTTCATCTTCAAGATACTTGCTGGAGTGTTTTGGGTAAAAAATGCTTGTGTGGGGTAAAGGCAACACTTGGTGCATAACCTGTCCTCATAAGCACCTATTTAACAGGGAAAGCCTTTTTTATTTCCACTCTTGGTAACAATTCAGCACACTGTTTATAGGCTGCCCTTTTCATGCTAAGTCTTGCATGCCCACTTTTGGCAACAGGGCTCTGGGTGTGTGATGTGCTTATTCAGTTTTACAGGCTTTATTGCCCTTACAGTTGGACACACTTTTTACTGATCTTTTCTGCCTTACATGGCAGCTACTATTATTAGCTGTTGTTGAACAGAAAAAAAGGATGAGGGAGATCATGCTCCAGCCTAGAGAGAGCTTGGTTTTACTTTCATAGATACTTCTGTGATACAGCAAAAACCTTGGCAGTTTTTGTGAAGCAGAAGTAACTTGGTGCAATGTTTCAGTGCCGAGGCCGTGGTGACTTTGTGGTCTGTCCCACTGGCCATGGCACTTGGTTTCTGCTCTGGTGAAAGCAGATGTCAGCTCATGGAGAAGAGAAATGCAGCAAAGCAACTCCCTGTGCTGGTGGGAGATGTCTGTGGCAGGGCTGTTTCAGTTTCAGTGGGTTTGTTCTTTTTTCAGCCTTCACAGGAGCCCTGTTCAGAATGCACCTGGGCCTGCAGGGCCTGGCAGGCGGCGTCGTGTTTGGAACAGCATTTGGGTGAGTTGTGACTGCTGCACACCGAGCCTGGAATCAGGAGCTTCCCTTCCTCTCTTGCCTTGAGGGATTTTCTGTATCCCTCATGATGATCACTTTTCTTCCAACCTTTAAACTGTTTTTCTTTGTTTCTTGTTTTGTGTTTTGCTGCTCTCTCAGTGGTGAGAGCTCAGTGCTCTCAGTAGAACATCTTATTTGCTGCTGTTTGCTTATTAGAGGGAGCAACAGAGGCTCCACCAAAGCTGAAATGTGAAGCAGCAGCCATTAGGAAACACTCAGGGAGTAACTGCATGGCTGAGCTGTAAGGTGACACATGTCTTTGTGTGTGTCTTGTAGTCATGAATCTCCTAAAGTTTCGTGGGGCATGGAGGATCCATGGTTCTGTCTCAGAGGCTGTGGTTGGTGGGTGACAGTAGATCAGGAGTACCTTAGTCTGTGGTGTGATGTGAGTTTTGGGCCCCTGCATGCTCCTTTTGCTCATGCCAGTAAGTTATTGCTGTTGTGTGTCCCCTGGGTGAGTGGTGACTCCTCTGCTTCCCCCTTCAGGGTTCCTGCAGGAGGCCTCCTGATGGCAATGTATGGCTTGGCTGGTGAGACCCTGCAGGAGAAGAGGAGTCGTGAGCGCAGGGAGCTGTATGAACAGAAGCTGGCAGAGTGGTGAGGAGCAGCTCTGTCCCCTTCAGTCGTGGACTAGGAGGGCCTCTGGGCCTGTGGGTTCAAACATTTTGAGAAACTGTGACACACTGGTTTTCTAAGCCTCAGTTCTTCTCTTGCTTGTTGGTGTTGTTCACATTCCAGTCTTAGAAATGCTGATTTAGTCTTCCCAGTCTGCCTTCATTGCTGCCTTCTTTCCATCCCTATTGAAGAGAGGAAAGAAGGAGGATACCTGGAGGCTTGGGGGAGAAAGGGGCATGACCGTGGTCCTGGGAATTACTGAAACTTACTCACTAGTTCTGGAAAAAATTTTCAAGAGTTTGGATTCTGCAGTCATGTCTCTGTCAGGAAGATACAGGCATAAAATTGCTTTGCACTCTCTCTTCTCTCCTTAGGCAATCCAAGCTCAGTATGATTGAAATCTCAGGCCAAACAGAAAGCAGTGCCCAGGGAAGAGCAGAGATGGAGAGAGCAAGAGAATTGAAGAGCTACTGAGTCTTCCCCAGATCTCTGTCATAAGAAGCTACATAGCATTTTGATCCTGCTTGATCCTTCAGTCAAGGGATCATGGAAGTTGTCTGTGAATGCAGTTGTATCCTGTGAAAAAGTGTTTTGCTGAAAACATTGTTCAGGGATGGATATCACTGCACAAAGAACTTGGAAGGGCCAAACCTGTTCCACCTGAGAAGTGGAAATACAGACTTTACAGACCAGGAAGTGTCATCTAGCTTTGGGAGGAAGTGAGGGTTCCAGAGCCTCATCTAGAACCCATTTCACTGCTGAAAATGTCCAAACCTCTAGTGATGTAGAAATACTCAAGGTAAAGGGGCCTGTGAATGGTTTGTGTGCTAAAAGTGCCCTGAATCCAAAAGTGAATTATGCCCTGGTGAAAGCTGCTCTTCAGACAGTGCCTGAACAACTTGCTGATGGTGGTTTCTTACTTGGTTCCTACTGTACTTGGGGTATCTTGTAGTCTGTGGAAGAAGGGTGGAGGAGCTGGGAATTACATGGAAATACCCTGAAAAAGGCATGTTTTGGGTTCCTCAATAAAAGCCAGAGCGTGCCACAGAAAACATGACTTATTTCTGGTGGTGACAATGGAAGGCTTGGCACTGTGGACGTTTTAACAAGAAGGCCTCTAATTTCATTTACAGTTTGGAAATCAGGGGATGACTTTTGGGGGAAATGTAGTTCAAGACACTCAATAAAGCCATTGAGCAGTGGTGACTGTGTCCATAAGCTCTTTATGTCAGTACAGCTGGTGCTTTATGCCAGCACAGTGTTGGTACTAGAGCAGCATCCTTGAGTCATACTCCTTGAGAAGAGCTCTAAGATCCCACCAGACATTCCTCAACCCAGGCAGTAACAGAGGCAAGAGCCACGAGGGTGCCAGCTCTGTTATTGTGTTCCAGAGATGAACTGTTCAGTCAGAGCTGTTACCTGTGGGTGGTGCTGGAGTTACTGTAACATGGTCTGGGCTCAGAAGGGTGAGATGCCCCATCACTCTCTCCCCAAAGCAGGAGGTCAGAATTCCTGTTCTCTTTCTTTCCTCTCCTGCTAAAAGGAATTACATCCAGGCAGGATTTTTGAGTGTTCTTCTCATAAGAGAAGAATCTGTTCTGGTCTAATGCTTTTCCAGATAATTAGTGTTGATTGAAATATGAACAGTCAATCCCACAGAGTGTTTCCACCCACCCAAAGCAGATTTTTGGCACAGTTTGCTTTCAAGAAGGTGTTGTGTTTTCTGACTCCTGAAGTGAGCATTTAATTTTTTAAACACTCCAGTGTAGCTCATTTTTCCATTGAAGAAACATGTGTATTTCAGGGTTGTCATCAACCAGCTCTGATTTTCCTTTTCTATGTGTAAGAGAAGGATTTGCATAAACAGAGGTATGGATGTATTTTTTCCCCTTCCTGTTTTAAGCTGTATGTGTTGGTGACAGTAATGGTGTTGTCCTTTGCCCCCCCCCAAAAAAAAAGAAGAGGCCTTTCTAGCTCTGATGACATTTAGCTGTGTCATTGCTCTGTCTCTATTTCTGTTTGGTGGTATTTGATGTGATGCCTAAAGAATACTAATTTTCCTGTGCCTGACCATTGATGCAGGGGTGTTCTTCCATGAGAGGGAAGGCTGTGCCAAGGTGTAGCAGTGGTGTGGATTTTCTCTCTGTGCAGGGGAGGGCTGCTACATGTTTTTAAGGGGAAGCAGAAACTTCCAGCTGCACTGAAAATTAGCAGCCATTTGTTTCTCAGTTTCCTGCTGAAATTAGTTCCCTGCACTTCCTTATTTCTTGGACTCCTGAATAGGGAGTGAAGAATTGGTTCAGAGTTTGTTTCTTACATATCTGTAAAGGATTCTTCACATCCCCACTCCCTCCACTCCCAGCAAAAGCAGAGCACAGAAATTATTGACCCTCCACTTTCAGAGTAGGTAACCCAAGGAGCAGGGATACAGTGAGAACAGCTTACACTGAGTTTTCCTTTTGCAGAGAACCTCCTGTGGAGGGAGAAGGATGATCTGTGGCTACACTGCTCAGCTAGCCCCTGGCAAACAGATGTGAGGGGTGTGGAAGTCACAAGTTGGATTGCCTGAGTGTCATTTTGTCACTGCTGTCAGCACACTGGACAGAGCTGTGGCTTGATGCCAGCTGTACCTGGTACAGGTGACCCTGCTTCTACCTGGATGCTGTGGAATGGTGGCTAACATGAATAACAGAGGTTCTACCCACTGCATAGACAGACATCTTTTATTACTAAGGAAAGGAAACCGAGTTTACAATTTATTTTTTAATACAATTAAAGGAGGAACCCCAGGAAACAACATTATATACAAAACAGGGTAAACAAAGCAGCTCACTTGCTACAATGACACAGATGTGAAGCTGAGAAGGTCTCACAGAAACCATTTGTGTGCAGTTCACTGAATACAGCATAAGGCAATAGAAAACGTGATCCAGAGTATTAGTGCTTAATGAAAAATGAGCCAAATAACCTGATGCTAGACATACTTGTCAGTGAAATTTTTGGATTCCTTTAGAAGGAGTTACTGGAAGTGTTACTGGAGTTTGTGGTGCTGTGGAAAGGTTTGGCACAGAGCAAAAGGCAAGCCCTTTTCCGGGAGGCTAAGCAATTACTGGTCAGGAGCAGAAGAGAGCATGGGATAGTGAGAGGGAAAACATGCTGGTACAACTGGCAGAGCTGTGGTGTGGCTGCCAAGGTGCAGCTGCAGTGTGGTTGTAGGGAAGAGCAGTGATGGAAATCAGCAAAGTTGGAAGTGAATGCCAAGAGAGGGTGGTGAGCCTGCAAGGAGCTGGTGGTTTGTGCTGGAGCACACATAGGCTGAAGGAACAGGAAACCTGAAAACTGTGAGACACATCACTCATGCACCAAGTCCTGCAATAGGGTCAGGCTGCCTTTTGAAAACACCCTGATTTCTGTCACTTGTGTTCTGTTTGCAACCAGAACACACAAGTGCAATTGTTTCCTTAACCCCCAGCTTGCCTCCTTTTCTCTGTCAAAAACTCCTCTGTAAGAATGTTCTGAAGTTCCCATTGCACTTGATACAATGGGAAAGCAGTAAAAAGGTGATGGCACAGCGTGACTCTGCAGGAGTAGGAAGAGAGCATTGTCTTATTTTTTACTTAATCTCAGAGCTCAGTATCCTATAAACCACTTTTAATCCTCCTATTTTCTCCAGCAGTTTCTCAATATGTACCAACTAGAAAAAAAGTGAAATGGATGGACTGTGTCTTTGCTGTGTCCTAGGAAGATAAGCAGCTCAAGTAACAACATATTCCACAAAGAGGATGGCACTGTGCTTTCAGACTTTGGTTTGCCCTGATAACGTGGATAGAACAGTGAGGGAATGGGTACAGCCTGCAGAGCAAAAGGGAAAAACGTTCCAGTCAAACTCAGGGCAGAGTTGCTTAGGAAGCTTATTGGGGGTTGGGGCATTTTCCTCCTTTCCCCTCAAAACGAGAAGCCATTTTTTCCTACACAGTAGGCAAGAATGTCACCCGGATCAGATGAGTCCTGTTCAATGTTGTCATCCTGTAGGGAAATTCCTTCTAGTCCTGGCTGGGTAGAGAGAACACTGGCAGAAAGCAGCAATGTAAATATCCTCACGTTGCTGTGCGAAACTCCCAAAAATCTGCAGAGCTTTCCCTAACAAGTATCCCGTGGCAGATGCACACACAGAAGCAGACCCATGTTTGTGAAGCAAGGCCCCGAGTTACATCTGATTACAGCAGATACACACGAGATCACCACTGGCTGTCACACGAGTTCCAGCGGGGCTGTACAGGTGTGGCTGGGAAGAGGGGATGCACGTGGAAGCTTGGCCCTATGTGTGCCCTCACATAGCAGCTGGATGGAGCAGCTGTACCTCGGTGCTTGGGTTGGCAAGGCTGTCCTTTCAGGAGAGAAAGGTTGTGAGAACTTGTGCCACTGCAGTAGGTAAGCAGTATTAATTAGCTCTTAGGAGTGCTGTCAGTGTGTAAAAGTCTCGTAGCGCTGCAAATAAGCATGAGGCACATAGACTCGCTTCCAAAATGTCTTTTTTTCATGAGAAATGTGTCCACTATTTCCTCTTTAGGGGAGAAGGGATGTGTATCTGTAATGGTCGAGTCCAAATCCAAAGTCCTCCAGCAGGAAGAACAGATACTTGTGTAAGGCTGAATATAAAAGCAGTTTTGGCTGCTCCCACTCACAACACGGAGGCACAAACTGACGAGACTCCATGTCAGGATTTGGGGTGTCCCAAAGGGCAGCTCCGTGTTTCTGAAGGGGTAGGAGGGCATGGGCACCCTGCTAGGGCTCTGCAGGCCCCTGATTCTCTCAGAGGCAGCATCAAAGCCAGAGGTGGCTGAAGCCTTGTCGTGGTGTGGCAGTGGTGACATCCTTCTGCCCCGCTGCAGGAACACGGAGGGTCCTGGGATCCCAGCGACCTCCTTGTGCCCGGGCCACGGCACAGCTCCCGTGGCGTGGCCGGGGGTTTGCATCCGTCCACAGGAGGTCGTGTTCCAGCCGTGGTGAGCAGAGTTTTCTCCCGCTGCCACCCCCTTGCAGAGAGGGGCGGTGCAGCAAGCGTCGCTGTACAGCCAACAGTGGAGTCTGCAGTGCGGGATGCACAGCGCGAGGAACCTGGGGAAAAGATTTCACTGATTCTTTTATTTTTGTTTTCACACCTTAAACGTAGCCCTGTAATGCTGCGGAGCTGACAAGGAGGTACCACCTGCGGGAGCCTTCCACAAGAGGGCTCCTGGTGCCTGAACTCGGAGCTGCAGCCTGGCCCATGCTCCCTGCAAATCCCTGGGAACAGATGAGGATGGCTGATGAACGTTCTTCCCTATTGAAGCGGCACTAGGACATGGCCCAGTGCATCAGGACATGGCAGTCAGCCACTGAGGAAGCACAGCTTCCATCCCAGTCCACAGACTGCAGCTGGAGTCGGGAAGCACCAGCCACCTACAGGAAAATCCTGACAAACTTTTATAACAAAAGAAAATGGGTTTATTCTGTAGGTGAACTCCTGCCACTCCCGTCACAAAACTCCCCAAAATTCATGCTAACCAAAGCTCTAGTATCTGTTCCAGACAGGGCCTTCCCCAGAGGAAAACATGAGTGGGTGGTCAGGTTTGGAAATTAGACAAGTGGCCTGAATGAGAGTTTCCCCTCCTTTCCATCTCCAAACTATTAAACTTTTAGGTTCTGCAGTGTACAGTTTGACAAAGTCGTGACTTCCAGGACCCCGCAGCTGTTGCTCTGGGGCATTACCCTGGCAATTCTGCAGGCATTACCCTGGCAATTCCGCATGCTGTGGTGAGAGCAGGAAATGCAGTCACCTGGATAATGATGTGAATAAGAACAGTTAGCTGCTAATCTTCACTTAAGTGTCTTTTTGGAGGATACAGCCCTGAAAACTGCTGAGCTTTCCAAGCCAAAGCAAATATAATCCTTTGTAATCATAAAACCTTGGCAAGCCAGACTTTCCCAGCCCACTTTTATAACACCCCATTATCAAAAGTAACTCTTTTTAAAATATAAGTATTTTCTGGGCACGTTTGAGGAAGGAAACTTTTCTTCTCTGTTCCTCCAGCTGCTGAAGGGAATGGACATATCTCAGAAGTGGACTGGCATGTCTGATCATACTGGGAAAGCTGGAGTTGTTCTTTTATTCCCCCTCCCTTACCACCATTCGGTCAATGCTCAGATTCTATCATCAGGGATGTTCCCATGTTGAGGCATCAGATCAGGCTCACAGGGAATCAGCCAGAGCCTCTGGGGGGTGAAGCCACGTGTGGCACTTGAGGTAGGGATGAGTAACTCACAAATGAGCCCAGCAGGACAGGCACTAAAACACTGCCCAGTGTTTAGTTGGGAGGCTCACAAAATGAGCACAGGGGATGTCACTGCAGATCTGACACCTGGATGACACGTGCTGTTTTCAGCTAACATTGCACAAGCATGCAATGGTATTTGAGAAACTGTTTTGCCAAAAGAAGAGTGAAGAAAACTACCTGCAAATGCTATCTGGTCATACAGATGATGTTTCAGATGTCACTTTAGAGCTCATGGGTGCTTTTGTGTATTCTTTCACACCCTCTTCCACCGAATCCTGGTGCTTACAACACTGAGAACAAACTGAAAAAGAAGATCCCTTGTTAGTATGTGAATATGGTCCCGATAGAGAGCTCTGTTCCAAATAAATATTATCTATACACTGTCATATGGATAAAACTGTTCTCGTTAGCACAGGGCTAGAACCTCAGCCTGGCACAAAAACAGGTTGCTACATGCTGAGATAAGGTCAGAGGGGAAATAATGATGGAAGTTACATGTCACTAATTGCAGTTTACCTATGGAGTGAAAGAATGCCTGTGTTAAAAGCAACAAACCCTTTCAGTGCTTTAAGGGGATCTCAGATTAAGCAGATCCCCTTAATATCTCACCATCTATGTGAGAATTTTAGTAGTTCAAGTTGAATCTTGTACAGTTGTGCTAGCACAAATTATGCAAGGTGAATCCTAAACTATTCTTTAGATGATCTCTAATCTTGGTGCTTTGTGTTTTCATTTTTAAATTACAGCAGAATAGGCTGTGAGCTCCTCAGAGTAGGCGGCTGTGAACCTCAACAAAGCACCTGATTGTTCTGGCCACCACAACAATCACGTAACTGAGAACTCTTCCGTTTTGTTTTGCTCTGCCTTTCTATTCTTCCCTCCCACGCTGCAGCTCTTTGAAGCATGGCTTTTTGAGCTCAGAAACCACTCTTAGCAACTCCTGACTCAGCTTTCCATAGCCCGGAACAACAGAGATACTTTCAGACCTATTCTGAGCTCCCACAGAGCTCTGGAGAGGTGGCCTGCAGCAGCACCCACAGGAAGCCTCTTAGGGCAGATATTTCCCCTCCCAGACAGGTGGCCATGCACAGCAGCACTGAAATGAGACAACCACACAAACTGGAAAGCTGAATGGAAGCTCTGGCTTCAGTTTCTTTTACACTTCTTGCAGTTTCTTTTACAGTTTCTTCCATACCAGGTCTAGAAACTGGCTGAACCAAATAGCACCACCTGATTCAGCAAATCTACTCCCTGTGCATATTATGGAAGTGGGACTAAAAGGGAAATTCCAGTTAATTTGGCCATGTGCCATGCTGCTTGCAGGTGATTGCATTCTACCACATGGGTATGCTTTTACATCTGCTTTAAAAGCAACTCCGTTCCTATATCAAAGGCTATTTCAGAGTGCTCCAGGATCTTGCTAATTTAATGGCAAGGAACCTTTTAATTTCCAGCCTATATTTGTTGAGAGACAAACCTTCCGATTCCAGTTCATTTTCTCCTATAATTAGAAGTTCATTATACATGCAGCTAACAGCACAGGCTGTGATCAACTGTGATTTTCTTGGTTTCAGCCTGCTTGTTGCTTTCCTGTTGACACAGCCCCAGGGAACAGCAGGGGAGAAGAACTGGCACTGGTGTCATAAGGGCACAGGGGTGGAAAATGAGGAGGTGCACAGGTGTGACCCAGAGTCACAGCCTTCCAGAAACTTCCTTTCTTTGTGGTAAAACACTGAAAGGAAATTAGCCCAGCTTGACTCAATGGTCACGTTGGTTTTTGAAGGGATGTGGTCGACGAGGAGGGGAAAAGAAAAATAGTAATGAGACCTCCACACATCTGCCTTGGGAGTGAATTTGTCTGAAATTGAAGTAGAGGTATCAGAAGACACAAGCATGGCAAACTTACAGGTGTCTGTGGGTGGGCTGAGCCCTTGCTGCCCAGAAAATGACCTTTGCCAACAGGGAACACCACAGCCAGGTGGTGTAAAAGTGAGCACAGAGCCCTCAGTGTGGGATTCTTGTCCCCAGATGTGGCTTCCCCAGAAGCTGACAGAACTCAGCTGGGTGTTGTGTATCCTCATGTATTTGCAAGGCCTGCTGTCATTTTCCAGGACTGCTCTGCAGAGCTGCTCACAGGGGTGGATAAGACACCTACTGCTGCTGACTTTCAATCCTACCTGCCTTCATAAATCTATTAAATGCCTGCCCACATCTTCAGGGACTTTCTGGCAAGGTCAGCTTAGACATGATTAGGAGCAACAGCTAACAGATAGGATTTTTCTGATTATAAAAAAGTAAATTACTCAGCTCTCCACTAACCCTGAGATATTTGAGGTCCCCTTTGCCATTGAAAAACTCTTGGAGACTTGTCTGGAGTTACTGAAGGCTTCATAAGATGGGACCAGACACTTTACCTGTGCCATTTTTGGCCGTACAAAGAATACAAATTAACTCTCCTGGTTGGTGTTCTCATAAAAGTGGGACACTGCTCTGCTGAAGTCTTTCCTGTGGCCCTAACACCAGGTATTTTTGTTACTTTGGCTGAGTGACTTTCTGAGGGATGATGTAGGGTGTGGAGAGAGATCCAGTTTTGTACCTCAGTGCTCATCTGTATCTATCATGACCACCAAGATTCTTGGCATCCTAAAGCATCTTAAAGCATCTTAATACATAAAAATGAACCTTTGTGAACCTCTTCATTATCCCTGATTTTGGAAATATTTTGATCTGCTGTCAAAACTCCCTGTCACCTCTTCACTCTCAAACCTGAACTCAAGTGTTTCCTGCACACAAAATGTGGGAAAATCATGAGCTAGACTTAGATTTTGTGACAGTGGATGCTAAAGGGGAGAAAAAAATTAGAAGAAGGTACAGAAATACTTAGTGTGACAGTAAAGTTTCTATAAATGTGTATCCTACATCAGCACTAAGAGACACCTTGCTGAAAAAGAAGCTGCACTTACCATGCCTTGGGAGGTATCTTGCTGCCAGGGTGATAGCCAGAATGAAGATGATAAGGATGATAATTGAAGCAATAATGACATTATAAGATGGAGGCACAGGAGGAACAACGCAGCTGTTTGTTTTTTCTGAGACAGGAGAAATAAAACATAAATAAACTTCCTTAAAGGATATTTGCATTTTCATGTCAGAGCAGGTATGTGAATTTCAGGGGTCCTGGCTAAATTCTAACTCAGGTATTCAGCCTGAAAATGGACTTACTCAATAAACAAACAAAGCTGGCACCTAAATTTCTTCCACTTACCCACATTTGCTATGGGCTGAAATTTTTAACACATTCACAGAACGTAAAAAGCTGGGTCTTTGTCCAGAACAGGACTGAGACGGGAAATATTTAAAGACATATGAGCTGTTTCAGGGAAATTAGCTAGGCTTGGTGCAAAAGTCTGAGTTCAGAGGTAGAAAATTTCTGTTCTCAAAGGTACTTTGCAGTTTTCCTTACTGTTTTCATCAGATTTATGCCTAATTTTTTTTGCCTTGGGATGCACAGGTGAAGGAGAATAATGCAAACCTCCAACTCTGCAGGGGTTGCCTTCTGCATTTACCAGGGCCTCTGCTCTGCCTGTAACTCAGTGTTCATGAAAGGTTTGTTTGGAGGACCATTTACACCAAAATGGGAGTTGTTCCACATCCTAAAAGTCAAAAAGTGGGGGGGTTGTGACTGCTGTGGCTGTGTCACTGTTGACTGCACCCTCCTCTGATTACAGATTTTTTTTGGCTCTTCTCTGTTTCTATGTATTGAGCTATTCATAACCTTATTCTCCCTTCATTAGGGACATTATGCTCTACATCCAGCAACAGCCAATATTCATAAAGCACTAGTTCCTGGCATTTGTTCAGAAGCTGAATGGCACCTCTCCCCACAAGCCCCTTTGATTTTAGTAAGATAGCTGAATAAGCTACCTTGATGAATAAGGTACAATTCCCTAGGAAAAATGCTGCTTCTCTATCTTCCCTTGAAGGTGCCCTTATCTCCACAGTAAAAACATCAGGCCCAGAGATATTTCAGAATAATTTTTTGGTAACAACATGAAAAAAAAAAAATCCTTTTGGCTTCATGAATTTTCTTGCAAATCCCCTCCTACTGCAAAACATCTGGAATGTAGTGTGCTGCCTTCCCTCATGCTGTTTCCACTTGTGCTTCAAGCTTTTCAAAGCACAGGCTTATCTATTATGCCATCATTTCTAAGCCATGCTCAGTGATGGAATTCTTTTCGTATGAGTTAACCCTGTGCTCCATTTGAAAGCAGAATTTTGTCTAGACCCCAGCTGACAGTTTCTTTCACTGAAGCAGGGACAAACATGCTTGTTAAATGAGGAAATTCTTTTATAATGCAGCCTGTGGCTATTAAAGCACACATGTTTCTCTGGTCCCTCTGTTCAAATACCAGGTCTGTGTCACATAGCTGGCAGCAAGACCATGGAGTGGCACAGGATGGTGGCAGCCCCAGCCTGTGGGAGCCACCAAAAGTGACATTACCAGATCCCAGCAGGATCCAGTTCAGCTCTCAGCCCAGCTGCAGTGGAGCAGCAGGAAGACAGAGCTGTCTCTGCTTGTCAGTCACTGCTGTAACTCCCCCTTCCCACCCCAGCTGTCTTCCAACCTCTAAAATGTTTTGGTGTGTAGTTCACAGGCAGGATCATTGGGTGATACTTGCATGAACACTGGCATAAAATCTACTGCATTCTCAGAGAGGCAACTCAGCAGATTCAACAAAGAAGACAGAGCTGTCTCTGCTTGTCAGTCACTGCTGTAACTCCCCCTTCCCACCCGGGCTATCTTCCAACCTCAAAAATGTTTTGGTGTGTAGTTCACAGGCAGGATCATTGGGTGATACTTGCATGAACACTTGCACAAAATCTACTGCATTCTCAGAGAATATGCATTTGTTACAAAAACATTAATAAAACATACTCAGAAGCAAACTGGAGGACTTGGCAAAGCCGCTGTATTCAACGGAGCAAGAGATGTTGACGTCTTTGGTCACGTTGAGCACCAGCTTTCCAGTGACACTGTAGGGGCTGAAGCTGGACTCAGACACCCAGCTGGCATTCCACTCCATGGACACGTTGTTGAGGGCCCCAGAGATTTTGGGCTTGGGGAACCCTCCGTGAGAAGAACAGGTTATCACCATCTCAGTCAACTCGCAAGACTCGGCGGACACTTCTGTTGTTATGTTGGGCGTGCTGAAGTCAGCTGCAAGAGAGCAAGAGAGGTTTGGTTGCCATTCTGTCAGGCCACAGCAATTTTTGCAGCCCCCAAAACCCACGGCCAAAGCAAAGACTCCCCCCACCTGAAGGGAATTCACCGTGGGAAGTTTTCTCTGCCTATGCTCTAGGGTACCAAGCAACCAATCCCTAGTGAAAGGAACTTGTGTGGCTGAGCAGTGACATCAAGGAGAGACAAAGAGAGCTTTCCTTCCAGGCCCACTGTCTGTTGAGCAATACCACACTGCCATCCAGCCTGGAAACTCCCTTCGGATGTCCCAGCCTGAATCCAGCATTTCCCTTTCCAGCTTTCCTTCCAGGCCCACTGTCTGTTGAGCAATACAGTGAAAATCCCTTTAGATGTCCCAGCCTGAACCCAGCATTTCCCATTCCTGATCCCCACAATCACTTGATCCCACTTCACCAAAGGGAGCAGAAGTCTACCATAATTATTACAGCTGGCCTGTTAAAGACAGCAAGGGGATTTCTGGGCAGAAAGAAACTGGAGTATTTGCGGACAGGAAGAGAGATCTGTAGCTTTATGGGTTTTATGCAGTTAACTCCTCAACCCTCATGGTTTAAAAAGGGTGCTGGCAGTACACTTCTCTTTTTTTCATGCCAGTTCCCAGAAAGATCACTAAATTTATCTCCTTGCACATATGCCCTCAGACCAGCAGGAAATGGCCAAACCTCAGGGGCTTGTCTTTTTTTTTGTTGCCAAATCTCCTTCCAGATGAGGAATGCTCCTTCACTGACTTGTCTGGAAGATTCATGTAACTCTCTGCTGTTAAAGGTATTCAAATGCATGTATGTTTATATATGTGTATATATATATATCTCACCAGTATCTCTGTCTTTGGTTGAGATCAACTGCCACAAAAACACCGGTGGAAATGGAAAATGTCAGTGGAACTTTTTGTGGCCTCTGAGAGAAGATTCAGATTCATTTGAACAAAGGAGCTCAGTTTCTTTAATGTAAAAAGCCTCAAAGCTCCATGATGAATTCAGCCTTAGGGCGTGCAGCTGCAGTGCAGCTAGTTCCACAGAGATTTGGATGCAGGGCTGGGATGCTGCCATGGCCACCCTGTTTCTCTTTCAGCTTGAATGCTTGCCAGGCATTAAGGACTTTGACTTGTTTTGCCCCAAAGACAGCAAGGGCTGCCTCAAGCACCCATCACCAGTGATACCTGGGCAGGACCCCAGGAGGGATCCTTTCACAAGAGGAAGACATCAAGGAGAGGAGGTTGGATTGGGGGTGGGAAAAAAATTTCTGTACCTGGGGTAGCTTTAGAAAGGTAAGAAGGGAGGCTGCTGGAATGGAAGCAGTTAACACTCTTTCAAGTTTCCTGATGAAAGTCTATCTGCTACAGTATGAATAAGCTTGGAAGAGCATCCTTCATCCCCAGAGGCTGGCACTGGAGAGCCTCGGGTGACAGAGGCAATCCACCTACCTGTCACAAAGAGGATGACGGACTCGCTGCACACGAGGACCGAGTTGCGCTGAACCACGCACTGGTAAGAGCCATTGTCCAGGATTTCCATGGGGGAGATCCACAGAGTGAGGTTCCAGGGGTCCATCTCTGTCCGGTTCTGGTAGCGCTCGTGATGAAAGATCTTGTTCCCCTCTGAGTAGGCCAGCACCACGTCTGTAATGTTCTTCTGCCAGTAGACCCGGTACTTGTGTAGGCTTTCTGAGCTGGGGATCTCATGACAGCAAGGCAGGCTGACCTTTTCCCCCACTTTGCTTTTGACTACTTTCTTCTCCAGTGCTTGGCCTGCAGGGGAGGGGCAAACAAAAGTCAGTGAGTCAGTAGTACAGCCTTGTGCCAGGACCTGTTGCCTAAAGCTCCCCCCTTTTGGCTCTGACTGCTCATATCCCTCATCAATCAGCCACCGAGCTGTTTTACAGCTCTGCACTGAGGGGAGCCATCCTTGGGCATTGCCTGGTGCATCATGCTCCACTCCTACTCAGGATCATGACCCAGAGGGCACACAAGGATTGCTGCAGGGATTGCTGAAGGCAAAGGCAGGAGAGTTGTTTGCCTGAACAGAATTTTTGCTGGCCCCTTTAAAAATAGGGATAGAAACATACATGCACAAACTGTTATCTCCTCTGCTCTCCCTTTTCAGAGCCTGGTGTTTGGAAGATCTGTGTCACTCTCCACTGGGTTCTCTGCATGCCTAACAGGGCCACAGTGGACTATTTGTTCAGGGGGGCTGGGGGATTTTTGGTAGATATTTTTTTGCAAAGGAAAAAAACCCCAAAACATTCAAGATCCCAGAAAATAGAATCAACCCTACGATGATACACAAAGGTTGCAGCCACACTATCATCAGCCTTCCAGCATTAGCAAATGAACAATTTTGCCTAGTCTAGCTAGAACAAATTTATCTTAATGAAAGCTCATGGGATGACATGGAACCAGCACAGATGTTCCCCAACTCCTGGCCAGTGACTATGCTGGTGCCATACCTGGAGTACAGCCGTGTGCAGACAACAATAAGCTGAGATCCTTGCAGGGTGAAATTAGGTACAACTTTGAGTATGTGAGCAGTAATTCCCCTACTAAGCACCCTGCTTTCTTGATCCGCCTTGCTTTCCCACTCCTTCCTCTTTCCACCTCCAAGGGAGCAGCCCAGCAAGGAGTTCCTGCTGCTGCTGAAAGGTGACCCAGCCTGGACACACAGCCCTGTGCTGCACCTGAGTTAGTGCAAGCCTGGGGATGATGTGCACCCGGCTTTGTTAGTCCAGATCAGGTTGCTCTCAGTCCTGCTTGCCTCGGCCTCTCTGCCCAGGCACTCGTCTCCTGTGGTGGAAGTGGGACATCAATCTGTTACACTCCACTGACTGAGAGCAGAAAAACAAGGAAATAGCTGTCTTCAGGACAGAAAAGATTCAGATTCCCTCTTCCTTTCCCTGCAGAACACACCTCAGTAAACACACCTGGGAGAGGAAGCTGGAAAGTCCTGACAGAAGGTGTGTCACTGATGGGGACAGTGCAGCATCACCCGTCAGCGCAGGGGAGGGCCCACGTGCAAAGCCTGAAGTGTGAGCTGAGCCATGCACAGAGCTGAGTCTGAGCTGCCACTGCCCCAGCAAAGTCTGGCTGGGGCTGGCTCACTCTTGACAGTCCCAGCCTGAGTGCAGCCACGCTGTGCAGAGGCAGAGTGCAGCACTCGGGCTGTGACCAGGATGCTGTGCCATTCACATCCAGCCCTGTCCAAGGCAGCCACCAGCTGCTTCCCTGCCAGGCCTCATTGGCTGAGCAGTGACTCACAGATCCTGGGGCCACTGTCCCAGCAAGGCCCCTGTGGCACAGCCCGGTGATTTGCTCACAATCCCACAGCTGCCAGGGCTGTGCAGATGCTCAGCCAGTGCCCTGCCACAGCTGGAGTAAAGCCCAGGCACAAAGCCTGGGACAGAACATTGGGCTGGCTCACTCTTGACAGTCCCAGCCTGAGTGCAGCCACGCTGTGCAGAGGCAGAGTGCAGCATTCGGGCTGTGACCAGGATGCTGTGCCATTCACATCCATGTCCAAGGCAGCCACCAGCTGCTTCCCTGCCAGGCCTCATTGGCTGAGCAGTGACTCACAGATCCTGGGGCCACTGTCCCAGCAAGGCCCCTGTGGCACAGCCCGGTGATTTGCTCACAATCCCACAGCTGCCAGGGCTGTGCAGATGCTCAGCCAGTGCCCCGCCACAGCTGGAGCTTGGGGCTGCTTGCTGGAGTAAAGCCTGGACACAAAGCCTGGGACAGAACATATAACAGACCTGTAGATGTGGCACTTAGGGATGTGGTTTATTGATGGACTTTTCAGGGCTGAGTTAAAGGTTGGGCTCAAAGACCTTAAAAGTCTTTTCCAATTTAAATGATTCTGTGATTCTGTGAAATAAATTTCACTCCCCTCCCCAGCCACACACCCACCCCTGTCCCACTTGCATACTTGACATTAAATCTGCAGGAAACACAAAAAAATATTGTGGAAGTCCTGGCGACACTATAGAGTATTTTAATATTAGTTAAATAAAATAGAATATGTAAGTAAATGAACAACTTCTTGTTTAACTGGTTTCCCTCTACTCTGCCACTCCACTGGTTTTCCAAAGGGAAAGTTTCAATATTTCCCCCCCACTTCCTGTACTTTCCCTTATAATGCACTGCAGATCCTGAGCAACCAAGCTGGGGCAGGCCAGGAGCTGCTCAGTGGACTGACCTCTGTCAGCCATCAACTGGTAACAAAATGGGAGAAAAACTAATTCTTTCACACAGCAGAAAAACTGCCTTGTCTTGCCAACCTTTGCAGCCTGAAATTCAGGATTTCTTGACATCAGCATTTAAATTGCTACTACTAGACCTACCCTGCAGGAAGAGCTCTTGCCCTTTCAGGAATGCCCTTTCAGCAATGCCCTTTCAGGAATGCACGTATATTTTTTGGCATTCACAACATCCTCTGGCAATGACTTGTGCACTTTCATGCTGCGTGTGAAAGAATTTCCTTCTGTTCACCTTAAAAGCAGCCCGCTTCAGGCTGTTATTGCTGAAGTCGCTTCTCCTGCACCTCTGTGTGTGTTTGTGTGTACATGTGTTTTTATCTTTGACCACATCTTCGCTTGTTCTCACAGTGCAGCTCTTACTATTATTGGAGAGACTCGAAAGAGCAGCCAGTCAAATATCCAGTCAAACTTTGGGACCGATAAAGATCATTCTCTATCTCCTTTTGCAGCAATAGGGGAAGAGTAGGTGTACAGTAAATGTCAGGGTGACATCACATCATGAGTTGCATGAGGTTCTCCCTACCTTGCCCCCCAGAGTCTCCTTTGCAACCAAAAGGAGAACAAAAACTTTCTCGGGAGTACATGTGCAGGGGCTGGAAACTCCTGCTGATGTCATGACTACCCTTAAAAGGCTCTGCACCCTTGAAACTGCAACCTGAACGCTGCAAGCCTGAAGGAACCAAAGTCCATGAAGAGTCATTCAGCCCTACAAAAGTCCCCTTTCACTTTAGAGGTGAACTGCAAAGCAAAAATGAAAATCCAGTTTTGTGCCGTTTCTGCGCTGAATGCTCTCTGCAGCCAGGCTGTGGGGAACGTATTCACCATGGAAATCACTTTTAATGCCTTTTCTAGAAAAAGATCCCTCCTCCTCCCACCCTCTGAAGCCCACCCACTCTCTTGCTGTGCACACATACCACTCCATCATTGGAAGCCCGTGGCATGTGGCAATGCTGAGCCGATGGAAGGGCTGACTTTCTCTTCCCTGGGCAGAGAAGCTTGTTTCATTCAAGGTATGCCTGTGCTGCAGATGCCCTATAGGGCAGGGCTAACTGGAACAGAAAGGATTATAGAGGAGAATTGTTCCTTCCTGTCTGCTCCAAAGAGTCAGGAGAGCTGTTGAGCCTGTATCCCTATTTTCTGCACTCTTTGCCCAAGCCCTGACTCAGAAATTCCCCAGCCACAGAGAGCTTTGTTATCCTGACCACACGTGCAGTCAGACAGCACATGAGAGCAGGTTTCCTCTGGCACAAAAGTCTTGCAGAGAGATTTGACAGAAAAAGGCAGCTAAAGACCTAGCTATGCTCTGGAGAAGCAGCCTCAAACTGTTGGAAACCTCCAGAGAAATCCTGGTGAACAGAAGCTCCAAAGCCATTCTTTTTCCCCTGCATTCCCCATTTCTCTGCCCTTCTGAGCCTTGCTTTGCTTTTTTTTTCCTTCTGGTTCCCTATTTATTTTTGCAACAGCAGCTGGTATCTCGACTCATAAATTAATAGCATCACTGACTTTGCCTAGGACCATGCACCTGGGATTGTTACTCTGCAGGTAATTCTGCAGCTCAGACCCCTCATTTTCTGTGAATAACACATTCACCCCAAACTTGCATGATTTTTCCTTTGATGGCAATGCAATATTTTACAGGGATTTCCAAGCAAAACAGAATGAGTCAAAAATCAAGACATTTTGAAAAGCTGAATCTTTAAAAGACTAGACACCCCCCCTTGATCTCGTCTTTATCTCAGGTGGTTTTACCAATGAGGAATGAGATCCTCCCCAAACTTTCCATGGAGCCAAAAGCCAGCAAATGTCCTGTGCTACACGTGAAATGCTTTGTGTTTAAATCAGTGACTCCTGTGAACGCACGGATGACAGGAAGACCCTGCTAGATGGATGCCCAGATAACCTCAGTGTGGTTCAGATAACCTCTAACTGGTTCAGAAGTGCATAAAAGCACTGCCTTCCTCTGTGCTTCGTTGAAAAGACCCTGTGCACTAAGGAAGGTGGATGAAACAGAGAAAAGTGGGTGCTCTGAGCCCTGCTGCCTGTCCTCTTTACGGACTCTGTGGCTGCAGATTAACCCAGGCACGAGTGCCTGGCAAGCCTCTGAGGCTCCTTCTCCACAGACTCCGCTCCAGCAAGTTCAGGCATGCAAAGGGAGCTCTTGGCAGGCATGAAAAGGTGGAGCAGCCCTTCACCCTTGCACAAACCCAAGCCCAACCTCTCATCACAAACCGGGGGCCTGCTGCTGCTCTGGGCTGCTTTGGTGAAGCAAAGCAGCTGCAAATCCCGATGCTTTGCTCAGGTCAAGTTCCCTTACTCATCCCAAATGTGGTTAGAGAGGGGAGCAGAAAAGAAGGCGTCCCAAAGAAAACCAGTGATGGACTTTGTTTACAGTGATTCCCCTCAGTTCCTTGTACCCACTCACACTATTCAGGTGTGCCTGCAGCAGTTAAGTGACAGGATTAATCCTAGTGCACGATGATGGAATAACAGCTCTGAGGT